ATAAACTAATTTTAGTACAAAGCTAATCCATCAGAAATGCAATTTTAAAAGAAAAGGAACCTGTTGAATGAGGAACTCAGCGGAAGAGGAAGTGATGATGAGAAAAGCGAGAGATATGAAACACAAACTCCATTTGAGACCATCCATTTTATGAGATCTGGTTTTTGTTTTGGGAAGGCTTTACATTTATATAGAATTAAAACATCTTAAAGTGGATTCGTCGTGGAATCAGATTATATCATTCTTATGCACGTCCGTTATAATTATAATTATAATTAGGGAGAATTACTAAAATAGTTTTGATAAATGATTTTTTTTTTTATGATTTTGGTGTTTTTGTTTCATAATTATTCAAACACTCTTCAAAAAATTTTAAACCCGGTTTTGCCCTTATTTTCTTTGATAACAAAAAACGTATTTATGAAACTGGCATTAATGAGTTTCTCGCCAAAAGCAAATAAGTCTACCGCTCACGTGATGGTAGATTTATTTAGTTGTTGGTAGATTTGTTTTTGAATGGTAGACTTATTGTTGAGTGGTAGATTTATTTCGGTAGACTTATTTTTATGCAGTGGTAGATTTATTCCGATGTGATGGTAGATTAATTACTCGTGGTAGATTTAATTGCCTTCATGGTAGATTTAATTCGGATATAAATAAGTCTACCATCACGACGATCAATAAGTCTATGCGCGTCGTGATGGTAGACTTATTTATAGTGGCGGTAGATTTATATGATGTGGTAGACTTATTAGTCAAATGGTAGATTTATCTCGGTAGACTTATTGTTGAGTGGTAGATTTATTTCTATGTGATGGTAGATTAATTACTCGTGGTAGATTTAATTGCCTTCATAGTAGATTTAATTCGGATATAAATAAGTCTACCATCACGACAATCAATAAGTCTATGCGCGTCATGATGGTAGATTTATTTATAGTGGCGGTAGATTTATATGATGTGGTAGACTTATTAGTCAAATGGTAGATTTATCTCGGTAGACTTATTGTTGAGTGGTAGATTTATTTCTATGTGATGGTAGATTAATTACTCGTGGTAGATTTAATTGCCTTCATAGTAGATTTAATTCGGATATAAATAAGTCTACCATCACGACGATCAATAAGTCTATGATCGTCGTGATGGTAGACTTATTTATAGTGGCGGTAGATTA